ATTAACTAAACCAATTATCTGTTTATTAACTAAACCAATTATCTGTTTATTAACTAAACCAATTATCTGTTTATTAATTAAACCAATCATCTGTTTGTTAATTAAACTAATTATCTGTTTGTTGAATAATAATAATTATCTGTAATAACTGGTTCATTTATTGAATAGAAAATTGGTTCGGTTTCGAGTAGAGAATTGGTTTATCTAAAATTACCAATTATCTGCTCATTAAAAAACCCACTTATTGGTTTGTTAACTAAACCAATAACCTGTTTGTAAAATAAATCAATTATCTGTTTGTTGAATAACAATTATCTGTGATAACTGGTTTATTTATTGAGTAGATAATTGATTTATCTAAATAAACCAATTATCTGCTCAATAAACCTATTATTGGTTCTTTAATTTAATTTTAATTATCTGCTCGTTTGTAATCTAGCTGCTGACAAAAAGCAGAGCTGATCTTGTATTATAAACTGAACGTTTAACTTGGATCTTTAATCTCTAAGTTAACATAGGTTATATAGTGTTTTTTATCAAATATATTAACTTTAACAACTTAGTTTTATGAAAAAGCATTTTAACCACATTAAAATATTAAAAGGCAAAACTAAACAGTTTTATTTGAAATAGCAAATAGTAAAAAAAAAGTGTTTAAATTAAATAAAAATCTGATTTCGCTCTCAGCTTTTTAAAAAGCTCTAAAACTACTTCCTGTTCTGTGACGATAAAACTAATAATAATTTGCTCAGAATAAAATTATTAGCTTCTTCTGGTGATGCGTTAACATGGTTAGCAGCAGGTGTTACCATGACAACCCCCTCTGCTGTGGGAGGAGCTGTGATCAGAGCTGTAGCACAGCAGAGAGGAAGTGGGAGGAGCCTAAATGAATCTCAGTTTTTCAGAGCTTTTTAAAAGCATCCTTTAGTGAACTGTTTCCTTTGAGCTTAAAAGTGTACAGGATTTAAAGTCTTCTCTGTCGTCATTAAACTTTTAGTTCTTGTTTGTTTTTTTCTTTTTCGTTTCTTTTCTTTTTTTGTATTTTTTTTTTTATCTGAACATGAAATGTGTTTGTTCCGTTTTGCGAGTCTTTACTAAAAACTCACCTCCTCTCAGGATCTTCTTGGTTTAGTCCAGCACCAGTATTGATAAAAAGATCAGATTCATGAGCTGCAGTTAAAACTTTTAAATGTTTGGCTGCAAATAAGATGACTCAGATTTTGACCTGAAGGTTTTGAAAATGTGTGGTAAAAATCTTGGCCGGTGTTTGAGTTCTGACTGGACCAAGTTTCAGAGCAACAAACCAGTTTTCTCTTCAGTTTGGGTCTGAAGGCACCGAGCCGGAACATATGGAGACAGTATTAAAGTGTGAGAAGCACTTAGATCTTATTTTTGTACAAAGAGAAATATCCAGACGTGTTTGTTCAGAGGTTTTTAATAAATACCAGGAAACAGAAATATGATGCTGAATCAGAACCAATCAGAGACCAGATGAGAGGAGAAATGTGGACCTGAAGGTTTTCATGTGATGAGATGAAACTGTTGTGATCTGTCATTATTACTAATCCTAATTAAAAAATAAGATATGAAAGAACAACGATCTCATGTGGTTTTTGTTTCATCTGTTGATGAAAGAATCTTATTTTTGTGTGTTCTGGTCCAAGCTTACAAGTTGAGACTCGATTTGGTTTGAGTTTAGTAGTTAACAAGAATGACATCATCCTGTGACGATTGTCAATGTTAACACCTGCTAATGGTATTTAAATTTTAAATTCAAAATAAGTTTATTAAAAACAATGCAGATGGTACCTGTTTGAAGTGCACCCTTGTGCACTTCAAATGTGCATTCATGTTGAAGAGTTTGGGTGCATTGTGTGTCCCACATTCTCCACATCTGCTCTTTGCCCCGCCCTTTTTGGGTACTATTTCCGCCCTGACGCAAAGTCCGCATTTTTACGGACTTCGGTGAAGTGTATTACCCACAATTCATCACTGCATGTGACATTTTGAATTAAAAGGCAGAAATCTGGCAATGTGCACTGAGCACCTTCAAGTAATGCCAACCACCAATAAAACCAAAAGAAGAACTTAAAGAAAGTAGTTCTCATACTCTGATGTATAAGCCTCCTTTGCTTCATGTGCTTTCTTCTCCTAAAAATGATTGATTACTGTAGTTGTACTATCCTTTTTAGCAATACAAATGCCTAAACAGTGACTGGTCTTTCCATGCTGGATGTCGTAGCTACGATGCAGAGACGCAAGTCGATGATGTATTGTTTGTTCTTCATTTAGTTTTATTTGTAACGTGTCACTGTGCCAACTGCATGTTTAAAATATTAACTACACAATGAACAGATCATAGGCATTTATTTTTCTGATTAACAGGTCTACTCCTAACAAACTGACATGACTTCATGCAGCCTTTGTGTCAAACAGTGGTCATATAAAACATAACTTTCATCAGTTTTATCATCCTGTAAATATTAAGAATAACGGATAGAGGGATGTTTGGAACTGATCAGAAATGTAATGATGGATGAATTGACAGATTTATTTATTGACGTTTATTTAACCAGACAAATCCTAATTAACCAGAAGTGCCTTCTCCGGGTCAGGGGGGTCGTCCTGCCTCAAGTGGAGGAGTTTAAGTATCTGGGGATCTTGTTCACGAATGGGGGAAGAACGGAGCGGGAGATCGACAGGCGGATTGGCGCAGCGTCTGCTGTAAAGCGGGCGCTGTACCGGTCCGTCGTGGTGAAGAGAGAGCTGAGTCAGAAAGCGAAGCTCTCGATTTACCGGTCGATCTACGTTCCTACCCTCATCTATGGTCATGAGCTTTGGGTCATGACCGAAAGAACGAGGTCCCGGATACAAGCGGCCGAAATGGGTTTCCTCCGCAGGGTGGCTGGGCTCTCCCTTAGAGATAGGGTGAGAAGCTCGGTCATCCGGGAGGGACTCAGAGTAGAGCCGCTGCTCCTCCACGTCGAGAGGAGCCAGTTGGGCTTGGGCATCTGGTAAGGATGCCTCCTGGACGCCTCCCTGGTGAGGTATTCCCGGCACGTCCCACCGGGAGGAGGCCCCGAGGAAGACCCAGGACACGCTGGAGGGACTATGTCTCTCGGCTGGCCTGGGAACGCCTTGAAGTTCCCCTGGAGGAGCTGGAAGAAGTGGCTGGGGAGAGGGAGGTCTGGGCCTCCCTTCTGAAGCTGCTGCCCCCACGACCCGACCCCAGATAGGTGGAAGAAAATGGATGGATGGATGGATGGATGGATGGATGGAAATCCTAATTATGAAAATCAATTTCTACCACTTTCTAGAAATAAAACTTAAAGTTGTTAATCATGCTGTAAATTATGCTTTTAGATCCATGATTTCTTTCACAAAGTTCGCACAGCTGAATAGAATGTACTCAAAATAAATATTAATTTGAGTAAACAGTTTATATTTCATTCACACCTGCCCAGCACCTTCACCACTCACTTGACAGAACTCTACCTGCTGAATCTAACAGCTCTTACATCAACAGACATGGACATGGATTAAATATTGATGGATTAAGTATTGGGTTGTTTTTACTGCCACCTGAGGTCAGCAAAAAGTCAAGAAAATATCATGAAATAACATGAATAAGTTAACAGATGACCAATTGTTCTTTCCATGATCCCGTTGTTAAAAGTTAGTTCTCTGCCCATGAAGCACTGTTTTTATGCAGAAAATACTGAAACTCTAAAAAAAATAAATAAACATTTTATTCTTGCTATACTACTTTAAATGTTTGAATTGACTAATTTCTGTAATTTACTAGCTTCAGTTTCCCCTTCAGAGCGGGCTCTTTGTGGCTGCAGCTCTGTGGGAGCGTCAGCGAACTAACAGAAGTTCATCATCAGTTTGATCGGAGATTTTTTTCGTCCTATCATCCCCGTACTAACTGTGTCCATCGGACTGGCCCATTAATGGTCCGGCCCAGCGAGAACTGTCCCAATTACCCACTCCGCCCTTGAACCCACCGGTTACAGGACGACTCCTCAAACCAGTCTGCTACAGCCACCCCCATCCATCTACACATGTCTCATCTGTCCCCACATGTCAACCTCCCGTTAGGGTCACCAATGAAGCGTTAGAAGAAGGACACATAAACTGATTGCAAACCACTTGAGCCCCTTTTGTGGTATGTTTCTCTGTACTGCCATTATGGTTTTGGCGCAGAAGGAATAATGTCAACTGGTTTGCAATCAGTTTATGTGTCCTTCTTCTAACACTTCATTGGTGAACCTAATGGGAGGTTGACATCTGTCCCCACATGTCAACCTCCCGTTAGGGTCACCAATGAAGCGTTAGAAGGACACATAAGCTGATTGCAAACCAGTTGACTTTATTCCTTCTGCTCCAAAAACATAATGGCAGTACAGAAAAAACATACCACAAAAGGGGCTCAAGAACACAACAATCCTGCTGGGTGAGAGGCACCTCACCAACGAATACACCACACTATCATTTTGTGGCACCCAGGAATATTTCACCATTTAAAATCACCGCCCTCAACATTTGTTTTTAAATTTAAGACTTGTGTTTTGATTGTTATGTTGTGTGGCAGTGACTCACACTCAAAGTAAATTCAGGTGCAATACCAATTTGTGCCAGTAGATG